ACTCTGAGTCATGGGAGCCTGCGCAAGAGCTCCTCCCGTCGCATCGCCACTGGACAACGCTCCCTCAGGACCGGTGGGGAGCAGAAGTGGTGCATCGTAGAACGTGCGGATGATACGACCAACAGAGGTTCAGTGACCTTATAGGACCTTACCAGGGTACCAAACTGGGATAGCCTATAGGGTTCTTCAACCTGTGTTGGAAAGTCCTTTTGTTCAATCTTGATTTCTTCATTGGCCCTAACGGTGGCCTCCAACCTAATAGCAATGGCCTCCAGGCCTCCAAACTGATAGCGATGGCCTCCAACCTAATAGCAATGGCCTCCAACCTAGAATGTGCAGATGATACATTTGTGTGTCTTTTTCATGTTTCTTCACTTTGCCAGATTTAAAGGTTGTTTCTCTCACAGCCACCAAAGGCAAGACACAGCAACCAGAAGATTGTACCTCGCAGGTCAACTCTGCGCCTGTCTCTGGCGCCCTGAATGGAGTCAGACCAAGTCGGTCCTTTTTCTCCAGATCTGTTGAACCCGATCTGTCGACTTCCTGCATCACGCGCAGATACGCACGCGCAGTGCATCCGCCCACCCTGCGCGCTTCACCAGTCCGTTCGCAGCACGGTTCCCCTCTCGCGCGCGCGTGTCCGTTCGGCAGTCCGTTCGCAGCTGCGGAACGGAACGGACGGTAGGAAGCCGGGTAGGCTCGGTGGGTACCTAGGTCTCACGTAGCCGTAGCCCATGGGATGTGGGACTCGGGACGTTTTCAGGCGGCGGATCGGACGTGGGTGACGAAGAAAGGTCCTGGGATTCGGTGGTGGGTGACCGTTCTCATTGGGCTTGCCCCCAAAGCAAGAAACTTCGAGGTAGATCCGGTTCTCTTCTTTTTCTTTGCTGCGTAGGGGCAACAAGCATATATTGATGTACAAAACATACTTCCGTGAAGGCGTTTCCATGGTGCTGTAAAGCAAGGTGGCTTTTCGCAAGCCAGGGGACTTTTCACTGATGCTGCGTTTCCATGCGGCCGGGTGACTTCTGCAAGCCGTGACTTAACACATGCGCTTGTAGGGCATAGTTTCCTTCCCACTAGAGTTCCTCTTCTGTCGACGTTGATCGTCAAGGTGGTTTCAATGGTCTTTCGCAGGGGCCCTTTTGCACGGGTCGTCTTCGCGCTCAGCCGACTTCAAGGCCTAAAGGCCACTTCGCTTCAGAGAGAAGTTCCTAAGACATGACGAAGCGACGAAGCGAAGCGAGCTGGGCGCTTTGCTTCTGAACATGGCGAAGCGCCGCCAACCAGCAACCTCCGACTTCGGGTGACGTGGTTCGCGTGTGGCACTTGCGCCATTTTCGGCCACCATGCTTGTGTGTGGCATCGTTTCACCGGTTCTGTTCTTTAAAGCTCCCAATCATTTTGCATAGATGTTTTTTCAGATTAATGTTTATTTTTTGATCGTCAAGCCTTCGTCCACATCATCCACTCCTTCTTGGGCTGAGCTGGTGGTGGTTTTCACATGTTTTCACCGCACGAGGCTTCACCGCACTGGCTCGGTCCAGTTCGGCCCTCGCCAGGAGCTCCAGCTTCAGCTCCTCCGCGGCCTGGTCGCGCCCGCCCACGGCGGCGCTTCCGGAGGAGGTCACCCAGACGGCGGAGATCTGAGGCCGAGATCGGGGGGTTGGCAGGACCGTTCTCGGGTCGGAGCGGCATGGAGGCCACCGGTTACGGTTAGCGTCTGAAGAGAAGACCAACAGTCGAAGACCGGGGCGAAGAGATCAGGGAAGAAGCAATGCCAAACGAGCCAAGAGAGAAAATGCCAAAGAGCGAAATGCTCTGAAGAGAAGAGCCAAGAGAGAAGAGCTGAAGAGCGGTTTCGTAGGTTGGAGGCCAGCGCTTGTGGCTTGGGGAGTAGCCATCGCTTGTCCGATGTGTTTTGCATTGTTTTGCCGTTTCCCTTGACCAGATCTGTGCTGCCCTATGGGGTATACGCGTGGCTGAAGATAGCTCCATGGAGATGGGCAAAGAAATCGCTGAACCGCTGAAAGCCTGCTGTGATTTTGTCATGCATCCAGAGCAAGGTTGAGTTCCAGCTGTCGACCCATGTTTGGTTTTAAACTTCTGTTGGAAAGTGCATTCTGGATGTATATTATTTTTGGATTCACATATGTTTTGCACGTGAACGCAACCTGTTCAAACGGCTGTGAGCATTT